CCCCCCCCCCCCAAGGGGAAGAAGCCTCTCACTCACCAGATACTCAAACACCAGGGTGAGAGACCGCTCCGTATGAATGAGGTCATGCAGGGTGACAATATTGGCGTGCTTCAGGTTCTTCAGCAGAGACACTGTGGGGAGACAGGTCCACTTGGGTCCCTGGGGCCCCACATGCCCCTCACACCCTCTCTTCCTGAGATCAGCCCCAAGAGTTCCACTCCTGCGATGCCCCTCCACCCCCAGGCTCCCACCAGGGCTCAGGTCAATGAACCAACCGCTCCTCCCAGGACCCTCAGGAGCTCAGGACCCTAGGATGCTGTACCCTCGCGGATGGCAGTGCAGGGAGCCCCCTCTTCATGCTCCAGCCGGATCTCCTTCAGGGCTACGAGGTTTTCAGTCAGTTTGCTGCGCCCTTTGAAGACTGTGGCATAGGTGCCCTGGGAAAAAGAGCCCCGGTAGCCCCAGCAACACTCAGCTCCTGCTCTCCTCTGTCCAGTGCCCCCCTAAGTGCCTCTCTTGCGCTGACTTCAATTGCAGTGTCCTGCCCCTTCTCCCTTCCTTTCTCTATGAGGCTGTCCCTAATCCCTCTCGGTCAGAGTGAACTGTCCTCCCTTGGCCCCAGCAGGCCGGGCACCCGTCTATTATAATGCCAGTCTGTTCTTGCTGATGTTGATGCTTATGTGGGTATCTCTAGGTTTCTGCAGGGAAAGGGCCATCGAACGTAAAACCTGGGGCAGTGATGACAGAAATAGCTACCAGTACTTAACTACATGCCAGCCCTCACCTAAGTGTTGTCCTAAAGCTGGTTATAGTAACCTCGTCAATCCTCACAGCCCCGGAAGGTAGAGCAGCCACGGTCTCCATTTGAGAGGAAGAACTTGAGGCACAGAGAGGTTACATAATGTGCCCAAGGCCACAGAGCTAGTAAATGGTCAAGTTGGGATTCAAACTCAGACAAGAAATACTTGCATAAAAAAGAATACTGGATCCTGCCCAGGGCCCACAGGCAACTCCATCCTCATGCCCTCCTCCAGCGCCCTGGCCCACCTCAGCACCTGCCAAAGGCTGAGCCCAAGTGCCCAGCCAAGATCGTGTGCCCCTGTGGGCAGGTGCAGTGAGAGGGCAGGTCGGGGAGGGCTGGGGAAGACCCTGTCCCTTCTAACCATCCTGCTTGGCTGCCCTGAGAAGACCAAACCCAGACTCTTACCTCCCCCAGTTTGTCCAGTTTCACATATGTTTCCAGTTTCCCAAAGCCGATGTCTGACTGAGGAAGAGACATAGGGTCCCGTGAGCTTGAAGGCTCCAGCAGCCCCAACATTACATTTCCCCCACTCCAGCTTCCAGGAGGAAAGGTAATGAGACCCCCATCAGGAAGAGAGAACAACTGAGGTTAGCAGGGGTGAGGACAGCCACAAATCCTTCTTCTTCTCTTCCCTCTAGCCCTGTGATAAAGGAAGAAGCCCTTGGGAGTGCGAGTTCCTTCCTCCCCTGGCAGTGGAGGGTGTGGAGCCCAGGGCTGTAGCACCTGGGATGCCTGAGCACACTTTCATCACCTGTCTTGTTCAGGCACCTAGCTCCAGGAACTCAGTCTTTTTCTCTACTGCACCCCGAATGTCCAGTTCAGAACCCACCACACCAGTAGCCTCTCTCATCAGCACACTTCCTCTAGCTCAGTGAGACCCAACCCTTAACAGTACAGGTTCCTGGGCCCCACCACCCAGACAGTCTGATTCTGTGGGTACCTAGAGTGGGAACCAGAGTTTGTGTTTTGGAAGATACTTCCAAGGAACTCTGCTAGGCAGCCAGGACTGGAAAGCATGTGCCAAATGGTCTATTGATCTCACCCTAGTGGAGACCCTGGGGCCCAGAGGAGCTGAGAGCTCTGCCCCAGCCCTGGTGGGACCCATCTGTAGAGTGAATGTTGACCAAGGACGTAGGTCTATACGAATCAGCTATGACCAGCAGGTGGCGCCAGAGGCTCGGGAACTTCCCCCGAAACTGCCATAGGCCTCAGCCAGTACAGGCCCAACCAGGACTGGCGTGTGTCTGGAAGACGGTGTTTCACCCTGGTTATCTCTGACCCTCTTGGGACTCACCAGGGATGCTCGGCGGGACATGCGGCTCAGTGGCTTGGGCAGGTCTGGGCTCTCCAGCTGTAGCTTCTGCAGGAATTCCTGGGGCAGGCGGATGTCCACGGGCAGAGAGAACCTCTTACTGATGTCCTGCAGTGGCCAGGATGAGACGTGGACACCAGTGTTTACTCCAGGGTAGCTAGCGCTGTGAGACCCCTGCCTCTCACCCTGGGCCTGGCTTTCCCCATAGAGCAACTCGGACAGGGCCAAACCCCAGGCTCTGACCCCAGGCTCACAGCTGCTTCAGTGATGTGCTCAGAGACGTACTGAACACCCAGGGCTTGGTTGCTATGTGACCTTGGGAGGTCCCTTCCCGACACTCTGGGCCAGCATCACCACCCACAGGCTGAGACTCCTACAGACACTACAATTCTATAAGCATATTTTTCATATACTTGTATACATGCATATGGGTCATAAGAACAACAGTTGAGTTGTCTATCCCTTGCTGTGTATCAGGAATGTTCCAGGCACTTGGCATATGTTAACTCATCTAATCTTCACGATGACCGTTTTAGCCCAAGGAGACTGTGGTATCCAGAGGTTGAGAAACTTACTCAAGGTCACAGAGCTAATCAATGGCAGAGCTGGAATTTGAACCCATGAAGTCTGGCTCCAAGGCCACCACCCTCCTGGGCACACGTGAGTGGATGCATCCTGCCAGGTCCACGGGATCGAGCCCAGTGCCTTACCTCCATGGAGAAGCGGCGCTGGCTCTGCCGCCGGTACTGCAGGCCAGGGGACGGCTGCGGGGGCTCCTCCCCACTGTCTGTGGGGGAGAAGGTGCTGGACTCTGGCTGGGGGTCTGTGCCAAGAGGACCAAGCTGCAGGCCTGAGAGGGAGAGGCATCAGCTCCCCTCCCTGCCTCTCCCCCAGGCCAGCAGGGAGGGCATGGTCAGGGAGGGCGAGGAGGGGCTCCGGGGGAATGCGGGCCAGGGCGGCTCCAGACCCTCACCCTCATTGCACAGGTTGTGGAGCTGGTTGAACTGCTCCGTGAACTCGGTCAAGGACTCCTCGATGGTCTCGGTGCGGGGCACGGACAGGGAGAAGCGGCGCCTAAAGTTCTTCATCTTATGCATGATCGGCAGGGACCAAGCGGCAGGTCCTGAGATGGCAGAAGTGAGAAGAGCCAGCATGAGAATAAGGCAACCGGGGGCCGGGCGGCATCAAGAGTGAACTCTGGGTCTCGGTCTTCCCATCAAGCTCTATGGCCCTGCACTGGGAGCCAGGGTTGAGTCTTCTCCACCCAACCCTCTCCCTCCCTGCGAATCACCCCAGGATCCTCTGCCCCTGGGGAAATACAATCTGGATCCATCAAAACCATAACATATTGCTTATAATAGCGGCATGATGTGCCAAGAGGTTCCTGGAGGCCTCCCCAGGGCCAGAAGGTAAGCTGCCGGAGGCCTAGAGAGTTCTGGAAGGAAGGCTGTGTGGCAGGGAGGGCACCAGAACCCCGTGGCCCTGGGGCCAGCAGCTCTTTACCAACCCGTGTATAGAAGCTCAAATGTGTCAGCAGCCAGTGAGCCTCTCTGATTGATGCCTGTAAGCTAAGTTTCAGCCTGACTTACACCTTTGTGACAGAGCCTGGTCCCAACCCCATTCATCTTAATACCAACACCTGGAGGTGCCTCTCTGGTTTGTCCTGGGTCCCCAGGAGACAGGAAAAGAGGGGGAAATGAGGGAGGAGGTGTGTACATCTGAGCTGACCTCACCCCATCTCTCTAGCTGGAATGTGGGAGGCCAGGAGTAGCTGAAGGTCTCGGGGGAAACACAGAATTGGCCAGAAACAGAGAGATCCCCTGAGGAACCCCAAGCAGGAAGGGTGTCCACTGCAGAGGACCCAGTGGGGGAGGGGTGGGCCACTCTGCTCACCCTCAGGGCCCTTCCCCAGCCAGAAGGGATTCTCTCCCTGCAGCGCCCCAGCCCTCTTGCCCTCTGAGTGAGGGCAATGAGACCCTGCACAAGCCTCGCAGTGAGCCTTGGGCAACTGCCTCTCCCCGCAGATCCTTCCTTCTCTGTCCTGCCTTGAAAACCCAGAGTGGGGCTGCCCCTCCTCCCCTCCATGGTTTCATAAGCTCCCACTGTGGCCGCCCCCTCACGCTGCTCTGCCCACATCTCCCTCAGCGGCAGCAGGGCTGGCACCAAGAGGTCCCAGAAGGGCCCCCACCCACACCTGCCAAGAAGGCATTGGGCCAGTCCTGTGATGGGAGGGGGCCACCCTGCACCCTCTCTCTGCTTTTACCCCCACACCAGGCCCAGCCCATTCCCAGAGGATGCTCTCAGCCCTGTCACTGGCTACTACCCAGTTGCCAAGGCAACCAGGCCCCTCCTGAAGCCTCCTGGTTTAAGGGATTATGGGTCAGTAACATGTTTGCTTTGCTTAATGATCACATCCTCCTGTCCTCAGCCAGAAAGAACCCTGAAAAGGGTCCTTTCCCTGGGCCTGAATGTTCCCGGCTGCCTCCAAATGCATCTACAGTTGGCCCCCCAACTTCCCTGCACCCTGAGACTGGGCATGGCCAGGCTTCCTTCCTCAGGCTTGAGCCTCTCAGAATCCAGGCTTTGGGTCTGCACTGCCAGCTAAGCTTCCCTCTGTCAGTGGGCCCTGAAGTCTCGCTCCGTTCAGCTCAACTAACGAGGACTGAGTACCTCCTGTGTGCCAGGCATGGGGCTAGACACTGAGGTTACAGTGGTGAGTAAAGTGTGGTCCCTCTTCTCAAGGAACTCGAGGGCTGGTCAGGCCTCCTCTGATGAGAAGGTGGGGAGAGCTCTTCCAGAGGCCTTGGCCAAGCCCACCAGCCGTGGACTTCCCCGATCCTCCGTCCTGAACTCAGTGCTGCTAGCCAATCTCAGCCGCTCCTCCATGGCTCTGTGCAATGTCTCAGGCCTGCCGTCTGCAGAATTCTCACTGACAGGAAGCCCCCAGAGGGCAGCCACCTGCCTCACGGTCTGTGCGCAGCAGCCCAGAGGGATTCACAATAGAGAGGGCATATGGGCTCCAGTGACACAAGGACCTAGACATACCCTACTGTTGACTCACATTTCCCAGCATGACAGCAAAGTGGAGACGTCTCCATTACACGGATCAATTGTTTACAAGGTCAGCAGAACATCAGCATCACCAGGAAGCTTTGTAAAAAATTCCAATTCCTGGGTCTCACCCTCAGATTCTGGAGCTAAGGCTCCGAGGATGGCAACCAGGAAAATGCAGTCTTAAAAAGCACCCCAGCCCCGCCGGGCATGGCTCAGCCATTGAGCATCAACCTAGGATCCAGGAGATAGAGGTTCAATCCTCGGTCAGGGCCAAGGTTGGGGGTTAATATTCAGTCAGGGGCGTGCAAGAGGCAGCCGATCAATGATGACTCTTTAATGATGACTCTTTAATTGATGTTTCTCTCTCTGTTTCTCTCTCTCTCCCTTCCTCTCTCTGAAATCAATAGATATATTTTTAAAAATAAAAAAATAAAAATTAAAAGCAGCCCCAATGGTCTGGACATGAGCCATGGTGGGAAAGCTTCTGAGGCCCAGGTAAGGGATAGTAACCTGTCTGGGTCTCTGGCCTGCCTACTGGCTGAGATGAGGACTCCTCAGAGCTGGGGAGGTGCAGGAGGTGGAGGGCACACAGTGGAGCAGAGAATCCCCCAGAAGGGGAGGAAAGGTCGGCCCAACACAAACGGACGCCCCAGGCTCAATCATGGTTACCCATGGGGGTGGGAGGAGCCAGGTACTTGGCTCCCTGAGGCCTGAGTTCTGCCAAGTGGGGCCAGCCATGCCCCCTTCTGAAACAGGGAACCCCCATAAAGCTGTCCTGCAGTCTGGGATTTATGGCATGAAGTGATGGGTTTGTGACTCAGGAATCTACCAGTAGCCACCATAAATCTCATGCTCTTGTTCTTGCTTGTGTGGGAGGGGTTGGGGGAGCACATTAAAAGCCTCCTGGGAGAGAGGGACCCAATTTCGATAAGATATATGAAACCTAGCCCTAAATCGTACCTGCTCTCCTCAAGTTCATTTAGAAACAAGGAGCCACCAGCTTGGATTGGGGGTAGGTGGGACAGGGAGCCAAAGGGGGGGTGAAACTGGGGACAGCTGACTCAAGCAGGAATGTGGCGTCAAGCAATGCCGAGGGATGGGGACCAGCTGTTCTCCACTGGCCTGAGAAGAGACCAAGAGGAAGTGGCTGTCACTGTTATAGGAGCGATGGAGGTCAGTTGTAGGGATGGACTTCCGATGGTGACAAGGGAGCAGGTGGCAGGGGTGGTGACCACAGCAGAGTGGCTGCCTCTCTCTGCTGGGGACAATCAGGGCATTGAACCCAACAGGGTCTTGGGTGTGACAGGGCAGACGGGGCAGTGAATGGTCCGTTGTTCCATAGCCTAAGACACAAGATGTCTCTGTCACTTTTCCCTTGGGACAGTCAGCTCCTCGGATTTGGGGGTCGAGGGGGAAAGGAGACAGGAAAATGGCCTGTCACCTTGTGCCGTCTGTCCCCACCCCCATATGGGGACAGAAGGGCTCAGTGTGACCCAGCCTGAGGCCAGTCCAGGGCTGGGCACAGTGTGGCCTTTGTCCCCAGGCCAGGAAGCCATCTGGGGCTGTCCCCGAGCAACTGGTGCCAGGGGAAGAGGGAGATGGGCGTCCAGGGATGCTGGCCTGGTTGGGTGGGGTGGGGGATGGTGAAGGAGCACAGCCCTCTCGGGAGCTGGAGCTGGAGCTGGGAGCTGCGGCCTTGGGCAAGCAGACCGCCCAGCAGGCCTTCTTCCTGCCCCCCTTGCCCAGGTAAGCCTGAAAAGTTCTCAGCCTACCTCCTGCCACTGCCTCCTGGGCACACACCAGCCAGCCCAGAACTTCCTGCTGGTGCCAGAGAAGTGGATGGCACAGGAGGAAGGAGGAGTCAGACCAGAAAGAAACTTGCCCAGAGACCACTGCGCACCCAGCCAGAGAGGGATGGAGTCCTGGAACCCTAGCAAAAGGCACTGACAGATGCACCATTCCAACCCCTCGCTGCCCACGGGACGCAGAGACTCGGAGAGGGGAACTGACTTGCTCAGAATTGTGCAGCGGTTTCCTGGTGTGGCCAAGCACACAAACTCCAAGACCACATCCCTCCCTTCTTCTCCTAATTAAAATGCCCCCCCACCCCCTCCTTGTGGCCAAGGCTGCAGGTTTCCTCCACTCCCACCCTGAATTAAAAACCAGACAAACCCAGGTTTAAATTCTGGTGCTACCATTAGCAGGCTATATGATGGTGATTAAGTTATATAATTTTTTGCTTTGGCTCTGATCATTCATTTGATAATTATTTATTGAACAGCTACTACATTCCAGGAACTGTTATTGACCCTAAGAATCTTGTGAACCAAACAGACATTCATTCCTGCCTTCATGATACTTATGTTCTAATGAAGGTGGGAAGGGGCAGCATGGACAGTAAAATAAATAAAATATACGCAGAATGTTACATGGTCACAAGTGCAATGGAGGAAATCAAGCATGAGGGAGGGATGGAGTGTGAGAGATGGCGGCATGGCAATTTTAAATAGGGTGCTTAGGAAGGCCTCCCTGAGAGGGTGACATTTTCTTGGAAAAATTCCAAGTAGGCCTGGGGAGGAAGCTAGTCATGCAGAATCTGGGAAAGCAGGTGAGCAAGGGAATAGCAGGAGCAAAGGTCCTGAGGCAGGAGTGAGGAGCCGGAGAGGAGGCCAGAGGGGAGCACTGAGCAGAGCAGATCATGTTGGGGCCCCTCGGGACTTGGGAGGGCTCAAGGGAATGTGATTCCACTTAGATTTTAAACGGCTCCCTCTGGCTGTGGTGTTGAGAACAGACTATGTGGGCAGGAGGTTACTCAGAGGTCCAAAGAGCCGGTGGTGTCTGGGGCCAGTGTGGGATTCATCTGCAAGGCGGAGCCAAAGGGGCTTGCAGAAGGACTGTATATGGGCTGTGAGGACGGAATCAAGCAGGACTCCGAGGGTTTGGGCCTGAGTAACTTGAAGGATGGGAACAAAGAGCACTGGGAATAGAAGTTGCAGTGGCTTGGGGAGGAGGGCGGTTTGGGGCAAGTGTCTGATATCCAGAGGACGTCTGAATGGAGATGCTG